GGAAGGGGATTAATTGGCTGGAGGTCGGGGGCGGGGTTCCCCAACCTTGGCAACTTGAAGATGTGTGGACTTCACCTCCCAAAACCCCCCAGCCGGCTATGCTGGCTGGGGAATTCTGGGAGTTGAAGTCCACACATCTTCAAGTTGCCAAGGTTGAGGAACCCTGCCCTAGACCTCAAGCCAATGAATCCCTTTCCCTGACATTGGCCAGGCTTCCAGCCCCCGGTAATGAAATCCAGAGCATGGATCTTCATGCCAATCTTTTGGTTCATGATTGAAAACTTAGAAAAGAGTTTTATTCACACACACAAATCATAAGTGCTGGTTTCTTTACCTCATAAACTGTTCCATTGACCACACAGACATTTTCTGTTAGTTCTGAAAACAGAAAGAGACGATTATTTAAAATATGATTGGAGAAGATATTCACATTTAAACATGTCTAGTGTAATAAGAAATTAATATTATTTAAATAGCCAGTTAGAATTAATTGCAAGGAGATAGATGAATGTTTTATATGTAAGGTTATTTAACTTCATTTTATTTATGACTTTTCTACTGCCTTTTCTCCAAGAAGCTTAAGGCAGCCAACAACCCCATGGGATAGATAAGGCACAGCCATAGGGACTGGTCTAAACCCCTCATGACAGAATCCTGGGTGTATCTCCTCTGACGTAGACCCCACAAGTTCAATGAATATGTGAATATTGAATGTTAGCTTCACTGAGCTTGACTGCTGAATGAAGGTTTGAATCTAGGACTCCCCAGTCTTTAACAGGCTTGTTATAATAATTAGATTAGATAAAATGTAAAAAGTAGGGTGTGATATTTCAATACAACTTCAAATATACAGCAGAAAACAGTTTCTCTTGTGCTTAGATAATGACATCTATGTCCACCTTAAATTCATGTTGTTACATCTCATCTACATTTCCTCTGCTTATCACTGTTTTCCCCTTAGAATACACAGCCCATTTATCCTTCAGTACATCTCAGTAAGCTTGAACTTACCACATGTAAAGTTGACACAGCACATTCCTTCGAAAATGACTGAGGCTAGGTGGTATCCAGGTTTACAAGTTTTCTTTTCCATGGAGCACATACTATTATTGCATACTGTGGAATAGGACAACAAGAAGAAAGAGCTGAATGAGGAAGTCAGCAGCCAGGTTCCAAACAACTGGACCTACTTGGCTTCTTGTGATGATGGCCAGCTCGTCTATGATTCTAATATATCAGAACAGCATACTGAGCACAGCTAACTTTGATCTGATAAGAAGTGAAGAAAAGAACATTTCCAGATTTCTAGCTTTCTACCTAACATCCCTATCTGAAGTATACAGCGGAAGTATGCGAAGAATATAGGGTGTTTGAACCTCCAAAGATTGCTTGCTATCTCTCCCATATATCAAACATGTGGATTGGCAATTCAGCTCTCTTTATGAATGTCCCTGTTAGATCCCTCCCCCCTTTCTTTCTCTCATAGTAAAAAAAGTTACATGCAGTTAGGATTTTCTCTTATGGAAACATATTTAATATTAATATTTTAAGGCTCAATTATTATTTCCCTTGTTCCTGTTTCCCGTAATCAGAATAGCAGGTTTTTAAATGAAGTAGCTTTGGGTCATTGTTCAACATGATACTACAGAGATAAGTGAAGGTAGAATGTTGAAATGCCTGTGCTTTCTAGGGGAAAAAAACGCCTCCCCTCTCTTCTTTCAAAGACAAAGGTTGCTTGCTACATGGAAGACTCGACAACTACAGCTGGATAAATCTGTTTTATCTCAGAAATGCTGGTGAAGGGGGTGGTGTGTGTGTCAGCCTTATTAGGTAGATCAGACAGGAAACGTGACCTGATGAGCTCATTCTACTTTATTGTAAAATTACATTAATAGAATCTCCCAAATCTGAAAATAATTCTCTCCCCCCCATCCCCTTTACAGCCTAAAAAACTATGGAGGGTCTCTTCTGAGCTTCTTGCCCCACCCACATTCCTGCTGCAGGCTAAGCTGCCTTTTATCTGACTGTTCCCTTGGCTATGTCTCATTGCCCTGTCTCCCAAAGTCATTCCCACCTACCATTACAGTATGTGTGTATGTGAATTCCACCTTCAAGCAAGCCTGAAGTTCTCACTGGCTATTCATTATTTTTTCTTTAGACCCTCACTGTGCAGCACACCTTACTGATGTCATTCTCAGACTTTAAGGTCTGAAGACTCATTGGGCCATAGCCTGCAATCATAGCCTGTGCTGTCTGAGGGTAGCAGAAGTTGTGATCCAACAACTCTGAGGGTGTTTGGGGAGCCTGTGATATATAAAGGTGTATATGGACACAGGTATGTGAGAGAGCACAACAGAGCCTCATGACCCCTTTGGTATTAGTGATAAGTAAATAAATAATACATACTGCATTTGATTTCTGGGCAGCATGGATCTTCTGAGTTTAGCACAAGGATGGGCATAAATCCTTCATTCTTACATTTGTCGACTGCTGATGGGCAGCTCTGTGGCTTACATTGTACGCTTGTAGACAAAGGGTCACATATGCACTCTTGACAATTGCTCTTCCATTTGGAACCAGGCTGATGTAAAGAAAAGGCAGATCAACGAGGAAGCAATGATAATTATTGTTTTCTAATTTATCACTTGGGCCACCAGTGTACTTAAGAAGGAGCAATTACTTGCTTTAAACTTTCCATTATGTCAGATATACCTGCTGAATTGTGCCTTAAAATTTGGAAGGGCTTTTGTTCATGGTGATCCTTTTTAAATGGCTAAGAAGGGCCCTTAAATTATAAACCACAGGACATTATGATAAATTAGGTATAAATCTTTTCAAGAGTTCTGTCTGATAAATGAAAACTTAATACTAGGTCTACATGGATGTGGAGCAGAGAATTTTAGTTAGGCCTGGAGATAACTGAAATTGACATTTTAGGTTTTTTTAAAGATACTTTCCAAGTACAGTCTGAGTCTTCCTTTCTTTTCTTTTAATTTAATCTTGTCTCTTCTAAGAACAACCTTTGGGCATATGTTTTGACTCTGATTCCACCTCCACTGACAGATCCTCCCATTCTGTGCTTCTAAGTGAAATGCTCTCCCATCTTCATGCAAAGGTGACATGATGCCCTTTTCTAGTGATGTACCCTGGGGTTAATGATGACAGGTGACCTCGATCTGATTGAGTGTATGGTGAAAAAAGAATAAGTCCATATCAAGTCCAAATATTGGTTTCTTGTCAAATGAATGTTTCTATTGCAAGCGACTAGCATTCTGTATGAAATACTTACTAGTTTTGGTAATCCATCTGGTCCCACACAACCTATTAAAAAAAAAAGTTTAAAAATGTACATAGCTGTCCTTTGCTTAGATAATATAGTACAGTCTCCTTCAACATGGAAGTATCCAGATGCATTAAGACCACAACTAGCTTGGAATTCTGAACATTGCAATAGGAAAGCTACTATCTATGTAAGCTACTATTCATGTAAACAGTCATCAAGAAGAAATTCAGTTAAATAAATAATGATTCATATGCCAGGGCCCTCTGTGCATAATTATTTGCTTTTTAATTTACTAATATAGTTTCTATTCATTTAATGGCAAAATTAACATGGCTCATCATGAAATTGCTTTTTGTCCACAACTTCCACCACAAGCAAAACAATAATAACTAGAAATAGATGTTGCCTCTTGCAAGCTGAGCAAACCAGTTATGAAGAGACTGTGGCCTCAAAAGATGGTGTACTTAATCTCCTTGAAAAATCAAAATTGAAAAGGCAATTTTTCCCTCCCAAACCATATGATGGCGCTTCCCAACTACCATATACAAAGGTGATTTTACCTAACTTCAGTATACGCTTCTGTAAACCAGTAGGTCATCACTATTCATAATGAAAAGAGAAACTTACCACATTCTGGAACACAGAGATCAGTGTAAGAATTGAACAAGATTTTGTCTTCTGGGCAAACACATCGTTCAGTAACACGGTCATTACTGTCGTGCTCTAATCTGCAAGAAATGGAGGAAATTGTATATCATTGAAATTTGTTTAGTTTTATATATAAATATTCTTTCCCACTTTTAAGTGATGCAACAGTTGCCATACAGATTAATATGATGCCTTCCATTCTGTAATTAATTGTTTCAAGATTGTGTCATGTAACAGATGCAGAGTAAAATTTCCCACAAAAAACATGTTTTTGAAAAGAGTTCTTCAGACACAAAAGAAAATTGGCACTTTCATAAGAAAGTAATGAAATTATCTTTATTAGCTTCTTAGGAAAATGCCAATTTGGGGGAGTGGCTCCCATAAGCAGGGGAAAATGCTTATATAGAAAGTATGGTCCGATGCAGTCAGATGCAATATATTCATTCCAATGTTTAAGATATTTGAGGAAAATTATTTTATGAGCTTAATCTTATATGTGTCTTCTCAAAAGTCAGCCCCACCAGGTTCTAGTCCTTTGGGTTGGATTATTTTATCTGCTTTAATGATAGGAGGTCTGAATGTAGAAAGGAAACTCAGAAATGGTCATTCTTATGGCTTATTGTTAACTCATTATTTATTTATTAAATGTATATAGCCACCCATCTCATGCCAAGTGACTCATACCAGGAAATTGTTCAAGCTTCAGTTAGACCCTTCAATAATCCATTTTCACCATTTCAAATCTCCTATCTCAGATATGAAAGTTAAGGAGGACTGAGTCTGAGCCCTGTGGCCAAATAAAGGTCATGGAAATATCTTTTCAGAGTTTCCTTTCTAGAATACTAGAATGCCTCTAACACATAAACGTGGCCCTGAAGCACAAATTCTGAAGAAGTCCTTTGGACCTCACACAAGCCCAGGACTTTTCTGGAATGCCTTAAAACAGCCCAACTTTTTTTCAGGATTTCCTGTGAGCCTAAACCAAAGATGCAACTGCCTTAAGATATCCAAATATTAAATTTCATGCAACTCGTACAGAAGCAGGTTTTTCTTTTTCAGACTCAACCAGAAATCTAAAAATAAAAGAGGGCTATGTTGGAGTTGGGCAGCATCCAAATTGCATAAAATAATAAATAATAAAAATAAATAAAAATAAACGTTCAGAACATACACATACAGTATAGTGACAGATAAGCAGTAGTCCATAAGGAGAGCAAGATGCAATCTCATTGTCTGAGCTAAATGTAATGTCTGTCCCATAACCTTTAATTTAGCTCATTTGCCATTACATAGATCAGAATTTTTAAAATTGCTTTTTTTGTAATTAATACATAAACTGTTATCGTATCACACTTGGGACTAAATTCATCATATTCCAGCAAGTCACATTTCCTGTTCAAAGACACACAAATGCACTCGTTAAAGGAATTAGTAGACCACTAATCATTTTCTTTCTTCCTACCCTTTATAATCACAGGTTCGTTGATGAATGGGAGCACAAGCAGCGTACACCTTATCTTTGGGGCAATGGTAGGCTGTATATGAGAGAATAAAACACATTATAAACAAGCAAAGGTAATGATTCCAATGGGGAAAAAACTAGTGGCACCTATAGACACATGATTTCTTTCTCCAAAGTTTTTATAAAAACAAAACCAGTAAAACAGCTACAAGTGGCTTCACACTGTGTGGAGAATCAATGGGAGGGAAGAGACCTTTTAACTTTTCATTCTTGATATTCATCTTTCTTCCTTCACTTTTCCCTAGAAGAAAAGGATTAAGTCTCCATGCTGTTCCCACCATGAGTGCTTTTTATTAAGTTTTGAGGACTGAATCTTAAGTATTTATAACTTCCTGGGGAGGGGGGGACTTCTTGCTTTTGAAAAAGACTTATTTTTTAATGAACTTGCAATTGTTAATTAATTTATTTTTAACTGCAAAAGTTAAATTGTTGTATTTAAAAAGTTAAAATTTTTAAAAATATATAATATTGTTTTAAGGGAAATAAGTTTGGATTTGTTTTTGTGCTGTTTAAAACAGAGCTTGAAAGAGTTATACTGAAGACATTTTTAGAACCTTTGCAGTTTTTAGGACTTTTCCCCCCACCAGAATCTGTTTTTCATTTAGTTGTTGTAAAAATGTAAAAATGTTGTAAAAACATTTCTGTTGTGAAACAAAGGTCATAAATAAGAGTGATAACAATTTAATGAATTAATAAGTAATTTCCTCCAGTATTTGCTTTTAAATTTTCCACTAATTAAAACTTAATTAAGTCATGGGGAAGGGGCACTTTTTCTTCTGATGGTTAGCCAACATAGTATATGGATCTACTCAGGCAAAGGGAGGAACTACAGTAACAAGAAGGCTCTAAAAAGCCCATATCCTGTGGAATATGACCTACACATGGATACCAGCAGAGTTGAAGTATACTATACAATATATTGTGCAGAACTGAGAATGTTTGCTATTGCTTGAAGCTTTCCACTTTTAAATAATGCTAGACAACCCTGTGAGCCACTGGATCATCCTTTGAGAGAAAGGTAGTGCAGTCTGATGTGGCCAGAATGAACATTAAATTTTAGGCTGACAATATTTTTTTTACCCCAGTGCTAGACAGTCCCGTGATCATCTAAGAAGAGTATATATCATAAAGAGAAAAATAATTGTAGTGGCAAATGAACTTCAATAATTAGTCAATATTTACTTACCTAAACAGATAAACAGAATGACCATGGGTGGGCAAAAAAAAACCAGTGGAGCAGGAGTGACTTCCGACTTCCTGCTGGCTTCCCCATTGACTTTCCTTGTGGGAAGCTGGCAGGGAGCGCCGGAAATCATGATCATGTGACTGTGGGGACGCTGCAATGGTCACAACTTTGCAAATAAAACTGGCCTGAACATTGTGGAAATTTCAGTTCCACAGGAGTAATGGGTCCCAGATTTTTTACACATTCTTTAAGTTAGCAGATTTTAGGTACCTTGATTCAAAGATTGTTGTGGTATAATGCACTGTTTGGGCTAACTTGAAGGTATAAACAGACAAACAGATAAACACAATGAGAGTTTTAGATTCTAGAAGAATAGAAGGACTGATTGTGAGGGAGGAGATGTTTCTAAAGACTGGAATACAGTGAATAATTAACTAAAGTTTGTGTTCTAAGTGTGACTTCCAAGGTTTGGAATCTGTACCTCTTCTTCTCAGTACTTCACATATCTCCTGTTACCTTACACTCTGCTTCTCAATCCTTCTCAAACAATAATAAAGTCTGCATAAAGGTTGGGATACAAGATGCAAATAATATGAGCACATGCTACATTGTTGTTCAGTCTGCATGGTTGACGATTGGTCTTTTGACTCAAGCAGAAATGCTTCATCCTCTACTTACGGCATTTTCCTTGGCTCTTGCTCCTCCAGTCAGTACAAGCCCCTTTAGCCGTGCAGAGGGAAGCATATATGTCAATGTAGAAGCAAGTCAAGGAATTGTTGAAAGTCTGACATGATTCATAGAGGCAGTTTTCATAGAATTCTCTTGGAGGCAGAACTTTATGGCAATCTGCAAAAATACTTTAAAACCAAGGTGATGAAGTTTTAACTAAACAGGCTTTTTTTCATGGTGAGGCTACAACTGAAAGAATAAACGTTATGGCAAAGACCTCAATGTCATGATAATGACACGTGTAGAATCACCGGTTCAGCATTTCTGCTGGGTTGTATTCCTAGACTACTATTCTATATGATACATAAGAAATCTGAAGGTAATTTGGATATCTAATAGATGAAACACGTCAACACCTAATTCTGTGAAGTATCAGAATATCAGCATGCAAGGAATATGTATAGCTGGGGAGACCACTCATGGCCCAAGGACTGGTTGCAGCCTGACATAGCCTCCCATCTGGACTGCTGTCAGAACTGCTGCTTCCTAGCTCAATAATCCGATGATAGGCAGGTTGCCAGGAACTGCTATTCTGCTGGTGAAGCTTCCTTTCTTCTCATAATGACAGATAAATGACAGGCTGCTGAGAAGCAAGGGAAAGAGGAGAGAGAGGCTTGGAGAGGGGATAGAACTGGGGAATAGGAGTAGCTTGCAAGCATCTATTTGATGGACTGTGCACAGTGCCAGTCTTCATTATGGCAGAATTACAGTGAAGCAGGGAACCTGTTCCCCGAGCAATTCTACTGCAATGCACCATGCAAGTAAATGTGTAGGCGTGTAAATATGAGCATGGATGTGTGTTTGTGCATGCACCTCACCATCCTTCATGTGATGCAGCCTCAGGTCCTGTCACTGCTATTCAAAGTAACTTTATATTTCTAGGTTTGTTAGCCTCAGACATTTCCTGTGAAGCCGTCAAATTATTTGTTGTACTGGAGACAAAAGATGCAGTGTTCGTAAAAGCTGAGTTTTACTTACTCGCTTATAATCAGCTTGCACAAAGATGATGGAGTGCTGCAGGGTGTTGTTATTGGTGATGATGTGGTCACCAAAGGTTTGGTGGTTGGCACTGTTGTGGTCGTTGGAGGTCTTGTTGTTAGCACTGGCTGACAGTAGGGCTTATTGTTATCGTAAACTTTCCAGTGGACAGCCATGTCTGAGCAGGAGGCAGCTTCGTGACCATTGGGCAAGCGACAGTCATCTGATCGGTCATTTGAACAAAGCCCTAGGAATGGACAGAGGCAGACCATAAGTAGGCTGAAAATGCAGGATGTGTGAATATTCAGCACACCCACTCTGAGTGACATTTGGATTGTGGAATGGATTTCCTATTTCAGTAATAAGAAACAATTATATGACATGTACACATTTCTCTGATACACACACAGACACACAAAATGTGAATGATGGCTCTGGGTATAGGTTGCTGTGTGTGTGTGTGTATCTGCTTTGTATCAAGTCAGCTAGAAGGTATCAGCACCCAGACTACGTGGCTGGTTTCAGAACCTAAACAGGGTTAAACGTGGTTAGAAACTGAATGGGGGACCACCTGGGAACTCCAAGGCTATTTGTTGGAAGACTGGAAAAGTGAAAAATATCCTAGGAGAAGGAAGGTTGTGGCAAACCAATTCCATAACACTGTTAACAAGTCTGCATGAATGGAATTAGTGAAAGCCAAGCTCATCTTGAAGGCATCTTTATTTTTTAAATTGAAACAAACCATTGGTTCATCTAGCTCAGATCTTTCTTCTAGGTAGCAGCAACTTTGAATTCTTTTATAAATGGAAATACAAGAAGTTTGAAAGAAAAATACTCTGGCCCTTCATCTTACTGCTAAACTTAATTTTATTATTGATTTTTATAATAGTGTGCATGTTCATATATTAATTAATTTCTTTTGAAGGTACAGCCTTGAAGAGAAGGTGTTGAAAAATTGTGAGCATTTAATCTTGTTACTTACCACACTGTCCCTCTGTGTTGTGTTGAAAGAGGGCATATGGAAGCATAATAGAGAAGATGAAGCCGTTGAAGGAAACAAAAGCATTGATGGCAGGTATTTCAACTGTCATGGTAATACCAGCACTAGTAACCAAAATGCCATCTTTGGTGAAGCCCCCTGTGACTGACTCATTGTTGAAAAAAACCTAAAAACGGCAGGGTAAAAAAAGATTAAAGGACATGCTATAATGCAAATCTGAACAGTTTAACTTAGGCCATTTTAACGCAGTTTAGATCAATCACCTCTATAATACCGACGCTCTGCTGCCTTTTAGTTTTTTTTTTTTAATGTACTTTTTTGTTATAACCAAAGTACTATTCAAGCAAAAATTCATCAAATTAAAAAAATGAATAAATAACAGAACCTACAGGTTTAAAACTTATTTCAGTTGCGAGCCAACCAAAATACCTGAAACCCGTCTCAGTGATAACCTCTTTGCCTGCTGATAGAAGCTTGACAGCGACAAAGTTCTTTCGATTTCAGATAGAGCATTATCTCTTATAGATACAGTCAGTCAGTCAGAGGTGTCAGAGGGGATGAAAAAAATCACAATGGCAACTGCCTCTTTTCTATATCCATTATAAACACAATGCTTCCAATGTGCTGTTATGGCCACCAGTTTGTGTTTTTTTAACACTCATACACACACTCGTGGATATTCCTGTAACCCAGTGTTTCTCAACCTTAGGAATATTATGATGCATGAACTTCAACTCCCAGCAATCCTCCCAGCAATCCATGCTGGCTGGGGGATTCTGGAAGTTGAAGTCCACACATCTTAAAGTTGCTAAGGTTGAAAAACAACGCTATAACCAATAAACCTCCTTTAGTCGCATGCAAGAATGAATGACCTCTTCCAAAATGCAGCTGTGCTAATCCATTTCTGCCAACTGCCAAACATAGGCCTCCAGATTCAGAGATGAATTCAATAGTACCACTGTGCTATTTAAGTCAGATGAGTTAGATACTAGTAATAATTTTCAGTGCTCAGTGTTCAATGTAAAGGACAAATATTTAGCTTGTGATTAGCAGTTGGGGAAATCAATGGGAGAGAAGGGGAGAATGCAACCCATTTTTTTTCCCATAATGTTTCTTATTCATGTTTCTTATTGTTTTTTTTTCCTTTTCCTTTTGTTTTTTGTGTCTTAACTTGTTATGTTTCTTAAAAACCAGTTAGAAAAGAATAACATGGAATTTTTAAAAAATAGTACAACTAAGTTGAGAACCTGAGTCCAAATGGGGAGTGTTGGTTCAACCCAGGCTGAATCCCTGTTCACTGATCTTTCAAGTGACAAAAAGATTGAAGTGCTACTGACATGCTGGGATTAACCTGAGGTTATTCTGCTGTGCTATATATTGATATATTTACATATACATATTCAAGTGTGTTTCTCCATCTGTACTATCCTATGATGACCAGCTGTTTGAAGCTGCACCTATATATAATTGGAAATAAAAGAATTTCCCTGAGTATGAATGGCAGGTGGCTGAACCATTCCGGCATGTAGCTTCCAGGCAATCAATCAATGGGCAAACCAATAATCAATGAGCAAACCAGAATGTCAAGGGGTGGACCTCTTAATGCTCTTCTGTCCTCATCAAACATCTTTTCTGAAGGGTGGTATCTTGGTTCGATAGACTACCTTTTATGTGGGAAACTGCTTTGACTTAAAATGGTGCTTAGTTGTAGTCTGGACTTAGCTAATACAACATTTTCTGTTCCAGCCTTCCACCACTATCTGGGTCTGTGAGTCATCTGGGAGCTCCTTATTCCCCCAAGGTCTGGCCTAATGGCATTGTTTCTAGGAAGACATTTATTTGAACTTTATGAAATTTATTTGTAAGGGGAAACACCACACCGTAAATAAATGTTAGTTCCAGATTAAGGTTAGAGTAGTACGTCTGTCCTAAAGATAGTCCAACATTTTTTAAAACTAATACATTTCTCATGATAACGATGATTTATATTGTATCATCTTAGCATAACTACGGCTTTGTCTATTTGGTAGAAGCACTATTTTAGGTGGCGATACAATTTAAAAACCTATGACACTTTACCTTGTTAGTTCTCACTCCTTCATGTATTTGACTACTTAGTATGACTTCCATAGAGTTGTAATATATAAGCAGGGATCTGGAACAGGACTGATTATTAGCTACATCACAGAAGGAATTGTCAAGCAAAATACGGAGGTTTCCATGTTCATTCACAATTTCTTTCACCAAGATATAAGTGCAGTTGCCATGAAAAGTGTAAGGAGTGCCATCAAAAGTCATATAGTTAGAATTGTCCCAACCCGTACAGATACCTATAAGGGAAAATAATTTTTTAAAAAAATTAAAAAGGTACATGTTTTGGTCTGCAATCTTCAGAAGTCTTAACAAAGGATCATCAAAGAATTATCATGTGAAAGAATTAGTAACAATGCTATTTGAAGGACTATGGGCCACTCTGATGTGGCCATTAGAAAGAGTGAATAAGTCCTAATTTGGATGGCACTATAATAAATAATATACTATATACATATATATAAGAGAACCATGTATTTAAATAATTAAAATATACATAATTTTTCTTCCAGATACTAAGGCTGAAATCCTACATGCAGTTGCATAAGAGAGGTGGAGTTGAACCTGACACAGCTTACTCCTTAGTAAAGGAGATGATTATACTGTAGTCTATTTCACTTACATTCACACTCATAGCGTTCTATACAGCCATCCTCATCCACTATTTTTATTGGTTGGAGTCCACTGGCACAGTCTATCTTCTCAGCTTGTGGGAGTGGCACCATAACAATTCGGTTGTTCCCCTCGCATGTTGCCTTAGTGCAGTTATTAAACATCCATGTTTCATTAATCTGGAGGCAAACAACAGAAAATTAGTTTAAATTTATTGAGCTTATTAAAAACAAGAAAGAGTTAAGGTCCACTTGGGGAGCAATCCCATCTGGGAGATGAAGGGTACCTTCAGGAAGCAGCTACTTGACTTTGTCTGCCCTCATAAGATAATCAGGTCAGGCCTGGTGAGTACCTATATGAGTAACTACTAAGAAATCCCAGGGCTTGAGACTAGACTGGGAAGAAAAAAAGTCACTACAAAAATGCAGTGGTGAATTATTTCCATATTGTTCCCAGGAAAATTGCATGACTGTGTCCAGGAAGTCACTAAGAGTTGAGTTAAAAGAACACATGCTCTGCATGCACAGATCCCTGTTCAATCTTTTGCCACAAAGATTGTGAAAGACCCCTGCTTGAAACCTTGAGAGCTATGCTAGTGAAGACAGTACTAAAATAAAGCCATGTCCTATGCCCGAGGGTAGAGGAGGAGCAATTGTTGCTATTTGTGCCTACCCAAGTGCTCTAACGCAATGGAGAAGACCACTGAGTGCTGTGCCAGTGACCTCATCATTCTTTCCAGATGATGTAATCGTTGGCAGTGCACTCCTTGGGATGCTGACATTTCTGCTCCACTAAAGCACTGGATGGAATGTGGGTTGCTGCAGCTGCTGAAACAGACCAACGGGCATATTGATTCTAAAGCAGATAATCCTTTCAGAAAGTGAGACCAACAGGAATGTGGAGAACACTAAGATTTCTTTCTATGGATCCATGCTCACAGTAATAAAAAATTATAACTACCTGGGAATTTGAACATGGGCCTCTACAATCTAGGACCAACATCTGTTGTTTTTTCAAAGATGCTTGCAGGAGGTTCTTTCTTTTATTGAACCTGTTTTTAGAGCTTATGTGACAGTTTGAATTTTGTTTTCCAGCTCAAAATACTGGGCAAACAGTAGAAGTAGTCAGACGGGGCTTTGGGGGCTACAAGAAAGGTGTTTGGGGACTTCAGCTATCACCCCAGATCTAAACCTCAACTGTTTGTTTTACCAAAGGCAAACTTTTAGAGAGTTGCACTCCATTAGTTTAAATTGGCTGTGCAAGTCTTATAACTATCATACTTCATCCCAATTCATGGAAAATCATGTAAATAGTGCATAAACAAAAAATTGCATTACCTTTCTAGGTGGATTGGCATAAGGGCAACCTGGTACAGGAGTTGAGAAAATGACTTGCTGAGTTGGTGGAGCTGAGGAAGTGTGTAGTTGAGTTGATGGAACCCAAGTTGTGGAACTGAGAGTAGATGATGTTCCTGAGGTTATAACTGATGATGTTGATGGATGGGAAGTTGTTATTTCAGGACACAATACTGGATACCTCTTAATTTCACAGTTTGTGTCACAGATTGCAATAAAACTGCATCCAGAACTATCAGTTTTATTATATATTACCTCCCCTATTTAAAAGAATAGATACATAAATTAGAAAGCAGCATGGACAAATGCTATGAACCAAAGCATTTAATTAAATGTTAAATGCATGTGTAATTCAAACATTATGTTTGGAACTGCAACGTGAAATGTCATCCCAATCAAGTTTATGCAGGAATAAATCTGGGTATACTGTATAGGCATAGAAATAAGTTATCATTAAGTGTGATTCAGGGTGTGTCCTTTAGACAGAAGCCCCATTTATTTTGGTGGGTGTTACTCCCAAAGAACTCCATATGGTATCACACCCTTCATGATTTATAATGAGCAAGCTTCACTTCCCATGAAAAGTGGGGGGGGGGAGAGAGAGAGAGAGAGAGATTAGCCTGAGGATCAATAATCATTCCTTTTCCTTGTCTATCCCCAAATGTTGCCAGATAGAGATGAATAAATAAGTTATTTCATCCCATTATCAAATATCCTGAACCTAAAGGAGAATAAGAGTCTACATGCAAGCCAAAATCTACATTTTTAAAATATTAAGCACAGTTATTAATAACTGAAAACTTAGCACAAAATGTGTTTATTAAGAAAAGGTAAGAAAAATAACTCATTGGAGAATATAACTTATAAAACAATGCAGGCCCTAGGAAAAATGCATACCAAAAATGCATATATTAACAAAAATGTTCACAAAAACTGTCTACTTTATATAAACTGGTACAGTAAGAAAATTGTTTGAAAATGGAATTGATACCCTTGTCCATCTCAAGCCCTAGAATCCCAGAAAGACCCTGGACTCATGATCATATATAAAAGTATATGTTGCCCTCCTCATAAAGGAAATGACTGGAACATGGTAATAAATCTCTAAGGACCAATATCCCTAACTTAAGCATACAAAATAAGAACTGATGCTTTCAAATGCATAATAAAATAGCAAGATTTTAAATGCTGGAACAAATGAAAAAATTTTCACTAACTTCCCACAATGCAGAAGCAAAGCAGACTTCCCTAGATAGAGCAGTCCAAACCTGCTTATAAGCTTACTTATGTGGAAGGGTCAATTCTAAATACATGTACAGTCAAAGCAATATGTGAATGAAACTCACCAGGAGAAAATAAAGAATCAGGAGTTCCGGATACATGGCAGAAACATGGAGTTGTTCTGCTTATAGTGGTTCCTAGTGTGGAGCCTGATATTGTTGAAGACACAAAATACAAGACGAAAATGAATAACCAAATGATATGAGATTGATACCAACTGGAAATGTACTACTAAAACCTGACGCTGACGTTCATAGATTTTGAAAAAAACTACCAAAAGCACAGTTAACTCAAACTTTCTGCAACTACATTTAGGACCACAGCCCTATACTTAGGACAGTGATTCACCACTGCCTACCTCCAATCCACTTTTACTGAAGTACTATCAGAAAGATCCAGCTAGGGGCCACATATTTTAGTAGGAACTGAATAAACATGCATGAAGAAGTCCTTCCCTTAAACAATGGTGTCAATGCAATTTCCCATTCAAATAGATAACTTGCTACACACAGATAAATATTTTGATAAATGTGCATTGAAAATGGGCCTGAAATATTTGATGTCTTGCTTAGAAAATGTATGCTAATAATGAAGATTACATGGTATATTGTTTCTTTCTCTCTTTTTTGGTGCCATCAAGTCAGTTTTGACTCCTGACGACTGCCTGGACAAGTCCCTACAGTTTTTTTGGCAAGGTTTTTTGGAAGGGCTTTGCCCTTGCCTCCATACTAGGGCTGAGAGAGAGTGACTGGCCCAAGGTCACCCAGCTGGCTTCCTGCCTAAGGCAGGACTAGAACTCACAGTCTCCCGGTTTCTAGCCTGGTGCCTTAACCATTACCCCAAACTGGCTCTAGCAAGCAAGGCATGGCCACCAAATAAGCCAGCCAGTGAAGAATGGCTAAGAATAAAAATTAGGTTGAGACAATACAAAAATATTACTAAAATAATACAGTTATATACAATACAATTAATATGATTAGTTTAAATTTATTGTAAGTAAATAAATGTAATGTAAAGGTATTAACCAACCTACCCAGAGAAGTGTTATTCCCTCATCCACTTTTAAACTGCATCTACTTAATATAGTTAATTTGTATAAAATATGAAATATTTCATTTCTCCTATAATAAAAATTGAGTTCTCACTCCCTCTTATCTGTAGAATAAATTGAATTGCTACTTCCTTACAACTTGGCAAATAAACTGACTTTCCAAACTATTTTCTCCTCACTTCAAAGTATCTGCTTGTTATGGTTAACTTATCCCTGTCTGAATCTACAAGAGAAAATACCAGAGGCTAAAACTAATCTCCATTTCATTGGTTTACAGCACAGTCAGAAGAGTAAACCATTTATACACAGAGAGCAAAGAAGCAGGATGTTAGATGAAAAACAAGTCAAGAGCTTGTCAAAAGTTGAAAAAAGAAATAGAGGGGTGCCTGAGAATACAAATGAAAGGATATTTCAATGTTACTGCAGAGTTAGACAAGGAGAATAGGCAACACTGGGGGCAGTTGCAAAGAGGATAACCATTTGGGAAAGGGGGCTTGCAAGGAAAGCACAAGACCAAATTGGGGACACAGATGTTGAGAAATGTGGCTTCAGAGGAAAGACAGGACTTGAGGTGGCATGAAACAGAGCACTGGAAAAGATTAATTGACACAGTAGTAGAGGGAGAAAGAGGTCCCAAAGAAGGAAGAAAAGGGAGACAATGGCAGACATTAGTATGGAAAAAGAAAAGGGAACAAAACACAGAAACCTTCTCAAAGATATTACTGTCATGCTCATCCTAATTTCTAATATTTACAGGACTTTGCATAAAGGGAGCTACTTAATGTTCAACATGAGGATTATGTACCTGTTTTAGGCAAATGATACACAACAAATTTAGAGAGAATTCTACTGAACTTACCGCTTGTAAAAGTTGAAATTATCATTGGCGTAGAAGAAAGGGAAGGGATATGAACAGTTGTAATACCAGTTTTCATACTGGTGGACTGTGTTGGGATCCCAGTGCTTGGCGCTGTTGCTGTTGATGTGTATACAGGTGTGGATTGCAGAGATGAGGTAGTCATATTTGGAACTGTTCTGGAGGTGACAGGCTGTGTTGATGGTGGAGTGGAAAGGGTTGTGGTTGTTTGCTTTTCCGTTATTACTCCTGTGGTGGAGGACAGAACGGTGGTAGTTGGGATAGTGGTCGATGTGGTAGAGACCACTTCGGAGGTAACAGGTGATGTTGATGGTGCAGTAGAAAGGGTTGTGATTGTTTGCTTTTCCGTTGTTACTCCTGTGGTGGTGGACAGAAGGGGGGTGGTTGTGATGGTGGTCGATGTGGTAGAGACCACTTCGGAGGTGACAGGTGATGTTGATGGTGCAGTAGAAAGGGTTGTGCTTGTTTGCTTTTCTGTTGTTACTCCTGTGGTGGTGGACAGAAGTGTGGTGGTTGGGATGGTGGTCGATGTGGTAGAGACCACTTCGGAAGTGACAGGTGATGTTGATGGTGCAGTAGAAAGGGTTGTGCTTGTTTGCTTTTCTGTTGTTACTCCTGTGGTGGAGGACAGAAGGGTGGTGGTTGGGATGGTGGTCGATGTGGTAGAGACCACTTCGGAGGTGACAGGTGATGTTGATGGTGCAGTAGAAAGGGTTGTGCTTGTTTGCTTTTCTGTTGTTACTCCTGTGGTGGTGGACAGAAATGTGGTGGTCGGG